AGATTTAATGGACGAGGGGCAATGCTGCAACGAGGAACGACTCTATTTTTCAGCAGTTCAAGCAGTCTTATGTAAACCAACTGGATGATCAAATCATCTTTTGAAAATGACGTGTGTACGATAAACTCTTAAATTTCCGATATGCAACCTTTCTCTTTCTCATAGATATTCGACGATCTGAATGTCGGGGCAATATCCCTGTATACATGGGCGGCATTTCTTTCACACGTTCACGCGCGAGATGAGATTTCGAGACTAATCTGAAAGAAGCTACATACAGAATTTGGTTCCACTGTATGGCTGTATCGATGACGATGTCAATGACTGCGATCTCAGCCTCTGAAACCGTTATGACGCGTATATGTACATATAAAAGGATGTCCTCGGCGAAACACGCGCCTGTGCACATATACACGCGCGCGATAAGCACTATTTCGAGCGTGAAGGTACAAAGATGTATATACGTGTTATACGTATTTCGGTATCCGATACACTTTCCTCGGCAGACACATTCGCATTGCTAGGTAGAGCCAACATCGCTCTGGACTAGACATTACACCTGTCGGTACGTTTTAAATTAACGGCCAGACTAAGCCGGTTGCTCCTATTTGCCAAGAGTTACGATATATTTCTTGTTTCGTTTGCATCGTCGACAAGAAATGATTGGGACTGGTCAGTGACGAGAGCTCGATTCCATCGAGTCACCAACGAAAATTCGTACGTAAACGACCCAGCCTATAGGGGGCCAGCCACTCTGCTACATCATTCTTACGAAAGACATGTCCGAGTTAAATTCATCGCAGAAAATATCAAAGTCGTTTGAGTTGTGTGTAATTGTTTTTGATTTGAGTTGCAAATTGTCAAATGGTATTATCAACTGAGACAAGAGATAAAATTAATATTGAACGAGATAAGAAGATATCTATTAATTTCCCTTTTGCGACACGCGAGGATTATTTTGCAAGGGGATGAAATCGTATTGTGAAAATACTCCGTTTCAGTTAAAAATCCAGAATTACGGACATCCTGTTCTAGTAATATAACGTTAACAGCCATCCTAATAATACAACAATCAGATATTCAAAAAATAAAAGTTCAAATAAGAAAAGAAATTTTACTTTCAAACACCTTTGGCTTTCTCAACAGTGTGTGTAGTTAAGTTTGAGGACCACTGTGCCCCTTCCCCCCCATCGCTTAGGCTGCCCTACATTCGCTCGTGTAGAGAAGTTTGCCGAACCTCAGGGACATTTCGATCCTCCCCCCCCCCCCTCCTCTATTAAATGTTAATAACTATTATAACAAACAAAGTCTGAAACGCAGCTCCTTCGTTCTACATTTTTGTCTTATTTCGGCGTTGTTGGAAGCGCCTGTTCAGATTTTCTACCATCTGTTGTCCCAGCATCCTGTATAATTTAAAGCATCGAGAGGATGCTTCCTCCGGCGGTGTCATAATCGGTTTTGTATCTGTCTGCGCGAGACGATGCGACCAGCGGTACGAGAGAAACGACCGGGCAAAAATAAATGGCAATTAAAATTCCACTCGCATCTCGCTGCCTCGTAGAGAGTCGTGAGGCATCGTAGAGACAGGAGGAAAGGAGTCAGAGTCCGCTGCCAAGCGAGACCGAGCGAGAAAAATTAAGAGGAAAAAGAAAATACTGGAGAAGGATGGAGGACTGACAGAGACGACGAGATTCTCACTGATAGTGAGCGAGAAAAAGATAACCAGAGTTCCACTAGTTTACAAATTCCAGGCAAAATCCGAACGATCTTTGATTTAGTCTGATCTTTTCGTTTTCTACAATATACAATAGCTCACGGAAATGTTTGAGCATTTGAATGTATATATTTCGTAAGAAATTTGTATATCTGGATGATGTTCGAGGTTTATGAGACAATAAAGAACACAAGTTCACGTTTAGACACTTACGAAAAACTTATTAAAAATTTCTAAATACACGGATAGGAAATTACATCTGTAAAATTTCAATGAAACATTACAAATTAACGATTTTCACCACTCTGGTAGTTTCAGCGTTAAGTGAAAAACGAATCGGAGCCAAGAAGGACGTTATACATCAAAAAGTCAGAACCAGAACAAACAGAAATAACTGGGATAGACCGTAATAATTCTATTCGCTTATTCATTTTAATAATTCATTGATCTAATTGGGTCAGTGTTATTCTTCACGGTGTTTAATTATTAATTAGTCGAGTAGATTGCCAGGATTAAAAGCTAACGCTTCCTTTTTTTTTTCTCTGAAGGAATCCAAAGTTCTTCAGAAATTTACTGATGTAATTCACCGACGAGCAGAATGGAGGAGTATAGCGAAGAGTCGAATATTTCTATCGTTTCATAAATTAAGAAACCGATCGTATAACTTTCGTGTAACTTTCCAACGAAAAAATAAACTCTTTGCTGCCAAGGTTAATCTTCGTCTTCGTGAATTCCTCTCTATGAAACTTTCAAAATTCCTCGGGATTACGTCATGACCAGAGTACCATTGCCGTCATCGGTCTCATTGCCATTGAGACACCGAAAACAAATCGTTAGGAAGACATTAAGACACATTTAACAAAACCCGATAATGAGGAAGGTAGGATATAATCTGGAAGAAAAAAAATTATTTTTTTTTTTTCACTGAATAGTTTGGCTTTCTAAATTATTCCGATATGTAATAATCGGAATGAAAAATTACCTTGTCGCCGTTCGAGGAGTTAAAAGAAGGAGCAATAAAGAAGCATCGAACTCTTCGTAAAAAAAAAAAAGATAAAAAGAGAATAGAAAGAGAAAAATATAAGGCAAACGGTTGTTTAGTCTGCGAAAATTCCTCTCGCTCCGCGAATTCTAAGGCTGTCGACAAAAAGTCTCCAGACAAATCTCGAAACTAGAATCGAGCCGCGAGCCAATCTCGAAAATCGACGATGACATCACACGAGTAGTATTTCGACCGAAATAAATATACCGTACATCGACATTCTCCCACTTCCTGTCGCGTTCCACGTGAAAAGCCGTCTTACTTTCCTTGCGACGATATCTTATATGAAATTCAACAAATGTCGTCAAAAAAAACGTTCTCAAATTGATACGAGATATCAATAGCGGAATTTATTTGCGATGAAACTTATGATTTTACGGTGAAAAAAATTTTCACGGTTTTTTCATTAATTCATATTTTTTTGACAATATAATTAAAAAGATAGAGTCTAAGTAGGAAATTGTGTCTGCGTGAAATACAGAATACTGTCTTTTAGGGGTAAAAGACGGTTCCTCTTCTAAGTAAGAAACTTTTTAAAAATAATCGTGCGAAGATTACACGAATTAAAATTGAAAAAATGACGGAGCCGTCAGACTAACGAGAAATATTCGCAACGGCAGCGAGAATTTTCGCACAGTTGGCATTTATAGTTTTGGAAATTCACGTTCCGCGAATACGCGAAGTCCACGTCGACGTAATGGCATTGCCGAAATCGTTTCACGAGAAAATTTCCTGCGACGAATCGAAGGTAAATTGTATATGCGCGCAGTTAGACGTGCCAACTAATTCCTCCTTCCGACGAAAATCTATCTGTTCTAAATTTTGTTAACCAATATTTTATCAAACACCTAACGAGCGAGATGAAGGCGGACATTACGAAAGCACGCCTACACAAAAAGAAAAAGAAGAAGAAGAAAAGGGATAAAAAATTGAAATGAAACTTTCGTTCGATTTCAATGTTGGTTGGATGCATTAGCTAAGTACTCACTTCGGTTACGGTGACACAATGAAAGTCCACGACGCGTAAACTCATCGTAAAAGACTCGCTTTTCGAATGATGTAACTGCAAAGCGCGTAAGAGGGACAAGAGCGTTATCCCCGACCCGAGACGACTCAAGAGGGGAAAACTAGTTAATCCGGTGTTAATCGTCCGATCCGGCGACAAATATGAATACAAGCTGGCAAGGGGGAACCGACTAGTGACCGGAAGTAACATGATTTCTCACGAAATAACTTCCTGTCTGCAGCTCCAACCGTCCCTCGTTTAAAAGTTCATCGGTCCCTCGCTGCTTGTAATCACCACCGTTGGAGATGAGATCGAATACCTCGTAATCTTTTACATTCGAACCTTTTACATTGAATATTTCAATGGTATTTCGAAATACACTGGAAGTATAATTAAACGAAACACATATATTCCTGTTTTTCTATACGCAATTTTCAATTTTCATTTGTTACGTTCGCACGGTAGACATAAATGGGCAGAAGAAGAAACACACGTCTTTGTCAATGCTCTATGATTACTGTTCAATGCCACTGTCAATGTAATTTTCCACCTTGGTAAAAAAAAAAAAAAAAATTCGAGGCTAACTTGTGAACAGTGTATCGTGAAAAAGTTTTCGTCCTCAGAATTAATATTTAGCGATGAACGAGAATATCTTCGCGAGATTCAAACAAACTCGAGTAAAATTAGACCGGACGAAATAGTTTTGGTGTTCCAGATTTTTCAATGGATACGGACTTTTGGAAACAATCTTTCGTGTAGCAACGTTTGCTACTCGATTTCTTTGGTTTTATTTGTCGTGGAGTTTTCGAGACAGTTTTCTCGTCCGCGCGGATAATCAAATCTTATCACAAAATCAATCATATCCTCCTCCAGATTAATAAAAATTATTCCTTGTATAAGAATGCTAGTTTAAAATTGATTATGATCCTCTGAATAGATGAATAAAAATAGAACTATTCTTTCCCCTGAGAATTCTAGATGAAACTAGAATAATAATTTTCGTTCGAAAACGTTTCGTTCGATAATACGATTTCTCGCACAGGTACCAATTTCTCTCAAATATATGGTACAGCTCGCTAGTAGTATCACGTATTAAAGCGTAATTAATGGGACGGTTGACGCGTAAAAGTCGCACTATAAAAGACAAATCGACGTTTCTCGTTAAAAGCCCCTTTTCATACGGTCGATTCGCGTGCTTGAACGCGACGAAAATAGTTAAAAGGACATTCAAGACTCACCTCGAGTACGTCCTGTGCGGTCTGAAGGTATTCTCGAAGCATGGCCTCCTGAATGGCTCGCCATTCTTGCCTTGGATCCTCCAGTTGCGTCGTTTCTGAAACGATCGAAAAAAGAAAATGAGACATAACTTAACACTATAAGTCTTTATTTCCATGCATCTTTCACCCGTTTGCATGTAAATGTCGATCATGCTTTCAGCAAGATATCTCAAACAGTCTTCCCATTAATCCATTAAGGGGCAACGTTGCATTAACGAAACATTTCATTTGCAATTTTCTCCAATCAGCATTATCGAATTCTGTTCCTTACAAAGAATTTCAAGGTAAATTTTTATAATTTAAAGAGACTAACGTACGCGCAACCTTGTGATAAGTTTTCCTGATAAGTGATTTTTATCACTGTGATAAGTAAGTTTTTTGTTTTTGAAACTTAGATCACAATAGAAATAATTATATATTCGAATTAATAGTGAGACAAATAGAAAGAAATTTGTTATAGAGAAAATGATCTAAAACTTAGCAAATATTTGGGAGTTTCGAAAAGCCGAACTTTGAAATGAATTTCGATGTGATACCTCGGTGTTTGTAAAACAAAAGGTTATTAATCTTATTATCTTCTAGACAATTATCTTCTAGCATTATCTTCGTATTATTTTCTAGATAATTTAAAAAATAAAATTTTAAGAATATTTCTGATAAGAGAAATATGCGATTTCTTTAGATAAATATATCACGTAAATACTGAATACTTACGATTAACGTGATTAATGTAATATGCGCCCACATGTTTGTCATAAGCTTCTTCCCATCCAAGCGGGAGTTCATTTCCAATGCAGTCCGCAAATGTTTGAGGTTTCGTGAACCTGTAATTAAAAAGAAAAAACGAAAAAACAGAGTTAGAAAATATCTAATTCATATTGAAATGTTAAATATAAATATTAAATGTTAAAATGATACGCGTTAAACATTAAAAATATCGAAAAAAATAATTTCATAATGTGTTATAGCACAAAAATAATTTCTGCAATCAGTTTGCGTCAGTAGCACTTAATTGACGTCACAAATTTGTCAAAGCGATTTAGCCTTTAAACTTTATTGTACTTAGTGATATATCTAGAAACAGTTGCCAAAATGTAGCAGAATCGTTATTTAAAGTGCCAACGAAATATAACGCTAAAACTGATGACGCGAAAAAATTCTCTTTTTCTAGCAACTTCAATTAGTTTACTTGTAAAATTTCGCTTCTCTTTTGAAATTTAATTTGCTTTTGACGATTTACAAAAATCTTTTGAAAATGAGAATAATTTATTTTAAACTGATAATTTTTAACAATGTTATGCCAGTTGATGGCAGTGGATCTATTTCATACTTGTACCAACTTTGCCAAAAATGCATCGCCGACAATGCGTAGAATATGAAAATATTCACTAGACTTTGAATACTTATGCAAATTCATATTTTTATAAATATAAAAAGAAATTTACTTTATTTGCTAAATACTTCAAAAAATAGTATATACTCAATGTATTCCATGCATTTCATATATAATGCAATAATACATTTATATTATTATTGGTATTGCATATTAAGTGTAACATTATAATTATTAAACTAACATTATCTAGATTAAAGTTCTTTAACCATATTCATAAAAATATCTGCATAAACATCCGCAGTCTAACAACTAAGATTCAATTATGCATTATCATTAATAAAAATTTCAGAAGTTACACTGTAAAAAATGTGAATCATTTAATGCCGACGGAGGTACGAATATTTCTGTGACTCACTGTATATACACGAGTTATTCCAAAAAATTCCTGACTTATTTTTACAGCAGCTTCTGACGATCCTTTATCCCTTGTAACCCAATCTTTAAATTCAACTATTCGATTTCGTATTTTAATGGAGATGAAGGAACACTGACGACAAGGCTATGACATAATCGTAAAAAAAATTTCGAAGGTTCACCAAGAGGAATTCACCAAGAAGCAACCTTGATTCAAAAGGTTTGCTTAACAATCGGGCAATCGTGCAATCGACTCTTCGATCCTAAATTCCAGAGTGTTTACTGAATTGTAGATGTTTTAAACGTTTTTTTAACTCAAGAAATTATCTTTCCCTGCCTTTAAGGGAAATAATAGTAGAGTAAAATCACATCCCCTTTATTACCTTTTAATTACTTATTTTCTATTGTAAGAAACAATAGAATTGTGTCAAAAAGTTAATTCGACCCAATTCAATCATATTTCCATTTTTTAATAACATACACGTGTAGTGAGACTACATCTTACATATAAAACAAGCTAACCTTTGGAGGTCAGCGATCAACTTTAGTTTATCTTGACAAAAGTGAAATGGAGTTGATAATTAGCGCAGAAGAGATGAACAGAAGTTTTCTTTGACCTTACTGTCATGGAAAGCTATTTATTAATATCTGTAATCTACAACTTGTTTTGTCAATACAGAAGTATTGAATGTAATAATAATATTGCATATTATATAATAGATACTAAACCATAATACGTCATGAAGTACGTCAGTAACATTATTGAAACAATTGACATAACGTACAACGAAAGTGTTAATAATAGATAATGCAAAGACCTTCCAACGACTTGTCAGTGGAAGTAAGTTACAGCACGTGCTACTTAAAAGAATTATAAACGACGAACACGATATAACAGACATTCTACAATCGGACACAGTTAAATCTTTGAAAATGTTTGGTCGATGTTACGGAATTTTAGCGACAATTTCTCAATTCCTTTTCCGCTGTGTGATTCACGTTTTTAATGTGCCCTTGGCCTTACCGCGGCGCTGTCCTATAATACGAAGGAGGAAGGAGAAGGAGGGTCAAGAACGTACATCATGACGGAGGAATAACGTGGACAAGAGAGAAGGGGGCAGTTGAAGAAGCAGGGGGAGAGGGAGGACGACATTGGAGGCGGCGGAACGGCAACCGGAGGAGGTGGAGGAAGCGAAACTATGGGACAAATCGAACGATAAAAATTGCATAAACGCACGCTCCGCATCGATAGAGTCGCCCTACACTAGCATGTACCATGAGATCGAACATTTCACAACTGGATTCGAACATTTCAAGGCGAAATTTCATAGAATCAGTCAGCGTTTTGTCATTTTTTTTGTCATTCTCCAGAGATTTTTAACTGGACGAAGTATATTTCGCGTTTTCTATATACGCGATTTTCAAATGTTATATTTATATTATTATAATTTTATATTGAAAAACATTTAATAATGCATCCTTTAATTTATGGAATCCCCAAATGTTATTAAATTCAAATCTAGATATATTATATACTATATATTATATATTGGATATTTCATATAATCCACCTTCAAATTTTCCATAACACGCATTCTCTAGATTACAAAAAAATCATTTGGAATCTTTTTCAAGCAAAATATGTAATAAGTTTTTCATATTTTTTCTGTCTATACAGAGAGAACAAAAAATGAATTCATTATCTGTGACAATATGGTATTGTTATATCGAAACAATACATTACTAACGCCAGACTATCATGCTTGTTAGGACTTTAAAAGGCTGCTTTTATGATACGTTCACCCGACTTCACCTGCGCTACTAGTCTTCTTCTACGAAGGAAGCTAAAAAGTGATGTTTACCAAGGGAAACTAGCAACAGGAGGCATAACAACGGCAGGAAGCATGAAGCAACCTATTACTGTCGCGTTTGTTTCAATTATGCTTGGTATATCACAAACTCACAGGATAGAACAATGAAAACATCATATTGTTATAGATTGTTTAATTCAATTATTCGATTCCTGAAGATCGTATGAAAAGAAAATAAAGCGCTACGTTTCCACAAGAGCGCCAGCTAAACTGCGTTTTACGAAGTTGATCAAAAAACTGAAATTTAGTTTAAAATATTTAAGTATCTCGTGTGTACAAATTCATATCTTCACCCGGAAAAGCGGAAGCGGCAACGAGAAAAGAACGTTTTTCTTTTCCCTCGGTTGGAACAGTAATGTGACAGACAAGAAGTAACGTTTAAAAATACATCGACGTTCACGTGAATGGGATTCTATAATCTACCGGCGCATACCTGCGTCGTGCATTGAGAAACAATGGGCTCGAAACATGACGGATTATAGCTATAAAGTAATCTCGTTGCGTCTCTCGATGGATGAGCGTGGAAGCACACCCACGCACAACATCCCTGCTCGTTCTTTTCACGAATGCCATAAACTCGATTTTAACACTCATATAAAATCGTATCGTGTTAACCACCAATGGACGATTCGAAATCTTAATCGTTTCTCTCATTGGAATTTCTCTTACTGCAACAGTGTTGCTGTTATAATCGTAGCTATAAAATACATTTCAAGAATAGTTTCTATCGTTCTGTGTGCACAGTAAAATTCCGTTTATATGAACTTGTTGGGGGGATAAGTAATTCACAAAACCATAACTTCATATGCATTTATGGAAAATTTGAAAGAATATATACTAGTTAGTTATTATAATACTCTGTCTTGATCTTTTTTTAATTTTATTGGTAAAAATATATTTATTTATAACATTAATACACTAATTGCATATGTCTAAATATACTAAATTTTATATTATTTAACATTTGGACATACAATGAATATATGTTAGTAAAAGTACAAATATTTGATATAAAAGAGAAAACCTAATCTAAAAGCTTCTGGACACATAGAGTTAGAGAATTAAATACAAAAAAGTTAGAATCTTATTCACAGCTAAGAGAAAACTGGTCACTCTATTGCTAATAATTGTTAAAAGTAGAAATTTTGTTATTGTTATCCCTGGATTCGATTCTTCAGTGTCCAATTCCTTAATGCGCGTAACCACACCTAACTTGCAAATTCTAGCATTCCTTCTGTCTGACACTCGATACGCTCGCTATCAGCAGATTATTAGAGATCTAAGGGTACTAGAAAGTTTCGTTTAGTATCGGCAGTGTCGAATAATTTGTGCGTTCGGCCAACTATTTCGCGCGATGAATTCAATCGGACTGATTACATAAGACATAGCTCTTTTCAAACATTCCTATGACTGCAGCAACAACTTCACGCACAACATTTTCCAATTTTATCTATCTTCCTATCTATCTCTTTATCAAAATATTCGAAATTAAGTGGTCATAGTTTATTAGGTACTATGAAAAGATATCAGGTTACATTCCTATAATTTCTAAGACAAAATTAAACGACAAATAATGAAGTTTGTAGTTAGAAAAATGTTAACTCATTAGGTAGCAGCATTACTAATAAATGTTGAAATACATATTTTCCTCTATTCTCTAGACTTGATATCAATAAATCTTTGTACATTTTAATCATCATTAATAAAAAGTAGATAATGTAATATAATAGAAGACTCCTAAACGTCCCCACTTGTTACTGATTATACACTATTCCTGATTGATTGAAAGAATATTAGTGACCTTCTACCAAAGAAATCCCTCTTACTATCTCGTAAAATACAAACTAATAAGAAATAAAGGTAACAATGTGCGTTAAAGTGAAGGAAATGGTCAAAGGTCGAAAATAAAATCGTTGGACCGTTGAACTTGGTTAGATTTAAGGGTTGCAACGCTGGAAAGCAGGTGTGACTATTTATTTCGCGGCTAGGTGAGACACACGGCCCTGAATGTAACGTCAACCGCGAGCAAACAAGCATCTATGCGTGGGCATACAAATCGCGTAGGTGTCCCTCTTCGACTACCAAGCTTTGACCCAAGGGCACCAGCCGTGCATTACGGAACGCATGCACGTCGTCGAATTGCTCGCGTTTTCGTATTTTTACCTGTTCGAAGCGCGAAGCTATTGGACCGATTCATAAATAATTGTGCCAGCTTTATTTTTGTGTTTAATCCATGAAGGGTTGATGTTGCATCAACCCTTAGACAGCGAGATAGTTTTATTCGGATTTGACCCACATTTCTTTTTATACCGTGCCACATTTACACCCGCGAGAACTGAAATCAATTTAATTAAACTTAATCTACTAAGAATAACTTTTATTTCAATAGCTCATTAATCTTTGATTGAAAAATGGTTCAATTGATACGTATTTTCAATTATACACGTGTGCCATACCATAAATAATTAACAAAGTACCCGATTAATCTTTTTTTAAGGTTATCGAAAATTATTTGAAAAGAGATTAATAAGGTTATCGAAAATATTTGAAAAATTTTGACAATCATCGCAATAAATATTCTTCATATACTTTCCTAACGTAACCTCCAAAATTTTCTACAACAATTCAACGAATTTTTTTCAGTAGATTCAAACGACGTTGAAAGCTTATTACAATGGGGAATTCCAACGCAATTAATCATACAGTTGATAGAAATATACAGAAACGAATTCAAGGTATTTAATTGCAACGGGCAACGAAGATATTCCGCGATCGGTCACGTACACGCCGGTTAAGCGTATAAATTGTGATTGCGAGTGATAGCTGAAAATATTTCTAACGACATAATGACTGTTTGCGTTGATGGAGAGAGAGACGGTCGAGTTGCCGAGTCGTTTTGAAACGTGTTCGAGCGTAAAAATTCCAAGAAGAAAATAATGGTACTCAGCTTACAGGAATCTCCGTTTGCCTTCGTTCTCTGTACGTGGATGTGTCACGGCCTAGGAATGTCTCGAATTTCCAAGTTTGGGAACACTCCTGCCTCGTAATTCGTGCCATGGCTTTGGTCACGCACGTGTATACGCAATATCACGCTGTCTGTATATTCCTTTAAAGTTGTTCCTTCCCGCCAAAAAATTTGTAAATTTCATCAGACGAATATTTCGATCGATCTCAATCTTGATTTCAAGATTGTCGCAAACGTAGCCGATTTTCACCATACAGCCTTCTTAAATCTTTTTCTTTAAAAAAGGAATGACAGAAAAGAGATTAATTACAAAATTCGTCTAAAATGTGTTTTTACAACCATTAAACAATATGGCGACGTACGATGCGATACCAGCGCCACATGAATATTGACACGATATACATATGCATATTTATTTTCTTACTTTTAAATTATTATTATTGCTACCATTATAAATGATCAAAGTTATCGAATTAAAAAATTGCCGAACTTCCATTGTTAATCATCTTTTAAATGTGATTCACTAACAACTTCATAACTGAAAGTCAATTATATATATTTTTGTTGAAATAATAAGTTAGCTAATTATATATGATATTATAATTAGAGTTGCAACATCGATTGATTTATAAATAAAGAAACCAGATGGAAATATTAATTTCAAGCAAATGAATAATTCTTATTAAATAAATTATGTAAAAATATGTTTATGAAATAATCGATTTAAAATAAATTGAGTCATCAAATAAAAAAAAAATACAAATTTACAAAAAATAAAACAATATATCTTCGATATATCTTAAATCGTATAATCGTATTTGACGATAATTTACAAACTCTGCAACGAATCAATTAATTGTTAAACACAAAGATTAAATTAATAAATTACCACATGCTTTTCAATCAATTAAAAAGCACACAGCATACCTAGAAGCACTACAAACGATTATCTTTGAAAGTTGACAACGTATTGATATTTTCTTAAGTCACAACATTGCATAATGCAATCGAGAAACGACTGTTCTCTCTTTCCTTTTCACGGACATTCCTGCAGCCTTCGCACGTGGAAATAACTTACGTTTCAACATCCATTAAACAAACTGAGTAACCAAATATGTAATAAAAATTGTGTATCCGATAAAAATTTAAGAATTAAATTCGGGAAATACCAACCACGAATCTATTAACAGTTGTGTATCAATCGTATAAATTTACGAAACGATGTTACAAGAATCGAGCTCGAGTTAAAAGAATGCGAGAGAGCAAAAAAAAAAAAAAAGAGAAATGGTGGAGGCACGTTGGCACGCATACGCACTCGTGAGAGAGAAAGAATTTTCCTAAACACAGATGTCGAGCAGATGCCACGCGTTGCTGCGAGGAACGCACAGTGGGAAAACCGGCGAGTTCGATTCGAGTTTCCAAAAAAGAAACAAACACCGAGAGGTGAGAGACGGCGGAGAAGAGTTTACTGGGTTCGGAGAATGAAATTTCGAGATTTCGAGGAACGCGAAAGTTGCCGGCACACGGAATGGAATAACCGTACACCGGGCTCTGTTGTTCGCGTGCCAAATGTGCAAACAAAAACAGCAGCAAACGCAGGTCGAGCGTAATCTGCGCCCAAATTGCTGGACGATAACTTAAGCGAAACAAATATCAATTATACACCACCGATATACAGTATTACGTATTGAGATATACGATTTTCAATTTTTATCGTTTTATATGTACATAGTTATGAATATAGAAAGTCCTCGTAATTATATTTTCAAATAACGTGTTCTTAATTCCCATTATATCTAGTAGTTAAGAGTAACCCTTTATATGCAATAACTTACAAAATTATTTGAACATCTGTAGAATCCTTTATATGTTACATGAAACTGCAGTGAAAGGCGAAAATGAGACAAACTTGAGATATAAGTAATATATTAAGAATTTATGTTTTTTCTGGAACTGGAATCAAAGAAGAACTTGTAACGAGAATTACATGTAACGAGATCGATGTCTTAATGGCGACATCAAAATCGGAAGAGTAATACCCTTGTATCAAGGTCTATTTTTAGGTATCAGTCACTTGTATGTACGTTTTATACCGGTCAGCCCTATAAGATGCTTCACTTACACTACGCTCCACAGTTACGCATATACACATTAATCTAGGCAACGTGAACACGTGGAACACGGTGTCCATGTAAGCTAGTTTAATAACAAGATTTTAGTCTTTTGCTCGATAACGAACGCCATTCACTAGATCCAACGCGAGATTAATATCCACTTGCTTCAGTTACCCTAGTCACGAATCGAAAAAAATATTTTGTTTCAAGCGTTAAAAATGCTTCAATATTTAAAACAGTACTTCAATATTTAAAACGTTAACTAACTACCTAATAGTCGAAAATTAATCTAACATGTAAATTAATATTACTACTCATACGGAATGATATATTGACAGATCATTCGTATCATTCAATCTATTATTAACCTGTTATAAAATAGGTATAGGATATAAAATACGTGTATTTGTAAATTCTTCTACGCTCAATTTATAAATTATGAATTGTACGTGTTTCTATGTATGTATGCAATGAAATACTGTATTAAAATTACAGTAACCGAGTACATGTTAAATCCTAATACATGTTAATCTCACATACTATTTAACAACAAAATAAGAGAAAATAAAGAATTTTAATGTTTAAGATAAAAAAAATTCCACGTCTTCGCTCGCAATAGTAGCAGCAGGTTAAAACGCAATGAAATTATTATTTTTCTATCAGAAAGCTCAAACGTGAGTAGTAGTTTTATTTTCGTGTGCGATCGTGGTCACCAGATTTCTCGAGTTTTTCATCGACAGCGCGGCGGCCCTGGCGACTGGAATGCGGGCGCGGCGAGTCCTCGGTGTATGAATATACGCGTACACATAGATACACACGTTCGAGAAGTTTAAGGGGCGCTCACACGAAGAGGAATGTAACGTCAGAAATATTTTGTATATTGCTCGTGCGTATGTGCCTACGACAAATGTACATGCTGCACGCGTATTAATTATCAAAGTATCACGAAACGTTCGTTCATCCGTGTCTACAAATGAAAAAGAGAAAAAGAAAAGAAAGAAAAAAAAAAAGAACTCGAATGCGATCTTTAAATGGGATAATAAGGTTCGCGCATAGAGATCGCACGCAATTTCATATATACTCTTTGTTTTAGCACGTGTACGCGTGCATACAAACATATACATAGAAAATGGCGTACCTGTCTCTAGGATCGATCCACGTTGTTTTTCTTGTGTTGTGATCGATGAAATACACTTTTCCATCAAAGTCTTGCGCGACGTCCCACCCTTCCGGAAGCGGTATCTCCCCATTCCGTCTCCTTGGCATATTTCACTGCGCTCTAAATCCATCCAAAACTCTCTATCACCGACCAGTCGACAGGCACATATCTGTGCGCGCGTGCACACACTCCCCGTGCCACATACACGCTGTATTGATGAAAGAGAAAGAAAGACAGTCGATGTAAGAGAGACAAGGAGAGACGTTCGAGTTGGTAAAGAGAAGGCACGCAATAGTAATACACACCGATACACAGTGGAATGGAGATAGAAAGGATGTGTTGCATGCCACTGAACGCACACACGCACGCACACACGCATGAACATACACGCATACAGGCGTAACCGAGCGAACACGTACACACAACTCTGTCGAAAGAAAAGAGAAAGAAGAAGAGGAGAAAAAAGAAAATAGAGGGAAGGGGAAGAGAGTGAGAGAGAGAAAGAAACATCACGTGCATATGTATACATATATGTAGATTCGCATGGTATATATAATATACACACATGTTCTTGCTCTCTCTGTCTATGGGTCTATCTCTCTCATTCTCTCATACTCTCTCTCTCTCTCTCTCTCTCTCTCTCTCTCTCTCTCTCTCTCTCTCTCTCTCTCTCTCTCTCTCTCACGCGCTACTCCGCCATCATGAATACCTCATTATCATGAGCGGAGTGACGTCAGAGTCCCCGCCTTCAGATTCCTCTCGAGCGGAATTCCACCGTTAACATAGCTGGCCGTCGAAGAAAAGTCCACTGTTGGTATTCTTGCCTTGAGACGGTACCGTGGGTCCTACATTTGTACAAGACCGTCCGTATGAATGCCCGTTACATTATCGTATCTTGTATCTTCTTTTTTTTTGCACTGGTCACTTTGCAATATCGAGATGGAAAAAGAGATATATGTAAAATAGCACACAGCCTTCACACCACCAGTCGACGACCGAATTTAGTAGAGAAAAAGAAACTGAAAAACACTTTCACCCTTCCTGTGCCGTCTCACTCCGTCGTTCACTTTTATTTTACACTCTTATCCCTTTTTGTTCATAGGAGCTTACAGCATCACTTGCCGATGTCCTTTTAATTTCTACCGATTTTAAAACGGACGTAAATCATCCGTTTTACGCCATAGAGAAGCAGGATCGCTCGGAAAAATACTTACAACACCGTGCCGGTAATCGAAACGGCGAACACTTCTCCAGCTAACGTCGTTCAGATGCACCCTTTTTCATTGATGAAATTTTCGAGGAAGACGGGCAAATTGTTCAGGCGCGTACCAATCACGTCGTTCTCCTTTTGAAGCAACAGGAACGACAACGAGTTTCTCGGAGCAGAGACGGGATAGCATCTGCGTCTGGCGACCCGCTTTAAGAAGTGCACGCTAATGCCGGTACTATCGAGTACATTTCACCGTGTGCTCCCTTTTCCTTCTCGCATTGAACCTTGCTGCTCGTCGTCAGCGAAAGACAGCGCGAATCAACAAGCGACGTTCGCCTTCGAGGAATGTCAGAATTCGCCTTGCGTTTTTTCTCCCTCCCCCCCGCACACGTTATTTCATTCCGTTTCTTCTTTTTCTTGTTCTTTCGTTTTTTTTTCTCTCTCTCTACTTACGCGGAAACACTGTTCATGAGTTACCGTAAGACACTTTTCCTCTGTTGATGGATCGAATTGAACATGGCTTCGGCAATGATTCTACACTCTCTCGAGTCCGTTGTTCCAAGTGCCAAGAATACGCGTAAACTACTCTTTCGTTTCGACGATACTACAACCTCGCGCCAACTACAAGCATGTCGAGTGTTTGAAACATGCCACTGGACGTTCATACCGTGTGCGCTTGGCAATGCTTCTCACTCACTCTCTCTTCCTCTTCGCCTCAACGCGTACACCGATGAGAACAGAACGTAATCCCCTCTTCTAGCCACGGTATTTTCCTTCCTTCTTTATCTTTCTGTCGAATCGCCCCCACTATTAGGAACGAAAGCTCTCGTGTCTCTGACCGCTGTAGACGAACGACGACGGGAACAGACGAACGCGTTGCCCTTTCCGCAGTTTCACATATTTTCCGTTATATTACGACGGCGGCACCACCGTACAACCCTCATGGAAACGCAGGTGCACTCGAGACCGTTGAACATCCGGGACGAATGAATAAACCGATGGTAATCCGTTGGTGCCCCTTCGAGAATGTCTCGTACTCATAAGCCACTGTAGCATTCGCGTGTATTGCTTCCTCTTTCTTTCCTTTTTTTTCTGTTCTCACTCGATGTGTAGCTCCCAAATGTACCAAACGTCGAGATTCAGTCGAGCGGATCATTCTTCTATTTACATTTTTCATTATTGTTTAAAATATTGTAATTTTACACGCAATTTTAACTGTACTCGAATATTTTTCATGTCACATTTTTATGATTTCTGCATGTTAAAATTTGTTTTTTGTACTTTTTGAACAATGAAAGTCTTTCAATGATGTGGAAATGTGTCTTGCAATGTCTACAATTTTTTTCGTTCCTTTTCACCTAGAAAGACATTTAATTTTGCTTTAAAATGTATTTTTTGATTTTTGCAAGTTCTGTATAAAGTTCTATCTTTTGCTTTCGTAAAGGAAATTATATATTAAGATCCTATAGGTTGGAATATTTCGAGCATGTGCTTTCGACTTTTTACTCTATATATGTATTAATTTATTGTAAATTTTATAGTTTAAACTCTGTGAATTATTTTCTCGGTGAGACACGTGACGTATGTATAATCGTGTATGCATATACGTATGTATGTCGTGGTGCAGGAATGCAACGTATGGACGGGTTTTTCTAAACGCGGTAACATCTTTAATCCAAATTTTGTAAACGACAGAAACTAAACGTAACAATTGTAACGTAAATCAATTACACGGGATTCAAAGATTTCATAAGTTGCTTCTGGTAGATTTAGTGTTTTAAAGTTAATATGGCAACGTCTGAGAGCGATGACTTTGAAAGCGCTGACGAAGAAATGAACCACGATATACCAATAAAAAAGCATACTCAAATACAACAGTGGAGTTCACCAAACACAATAGATTCAGAATCTGACGATGACATGGAATATGTACCTCGGCAAACGTGTACAAATGTAAATTTGAATAGAAGGGAAAAATATTGTCCGATAGCAGATACGTCAACTAATAAAAAAAGAGTTGATAAAGATATCAGTATTAAAGATACATATAATTACAAGAAACATGAGCAACCAGTTATCAATGTTGACGAAGTCTATGGAAAAAAGAATATCACATGTATCGATTCACAAAAAGTGGGATGTGCACAGGCTAATACTGGTGATATGAATCTGAAAGTGGAAAATAATAATAAGTTAGATAAAACTAAAGTAGAGGAACCTACTGGGAAGGATATTAACATGGACTTAAGTTCTGAGGTAACAGTTAAATTGACTGAAAAAGAACAAACCCAATGCAAAGAAAAAAAATTAGGCGCAAAGAAGTTAGGGACGAAGATTACACCAAGTAGTAATTTTACGACTGATATAGATAACAGAAACAAAAGGGATATAGTAATAACAGAGGAAGATGTATGTAATAAATCTTTTATAAAAGATGAGATAACTGAATCAGATATGCCAGAAGAATTGAAATCTGAGAAAACATTTAAAGAAGTATTTAAACCTGAAGGTTGGGAAGGACTTGGAGATTCGATTGAATTGTCAGATGAACTGACTGAAGAAAAATTACAACCAGTATTAAAAAGATTATCATTAGTTGATGAAGAAACAAGTAGCTCATCGGTTTGGGGTTGGGGTAATTGGGATGTAAGTTCTTTAATTAATACAGCCAGTGCTGGAGTTTCTACATTAACTAGTCACGTATCACAAGGATTTACACTTTTGGAAGAATCTATGGCTATATCTGATGAATCTAAATCTACTACAAATGAGGAAGAAGAAGAAAATCAAACAGACAATGGTACTCCATGGTTTTATAAACTTTTTATTATATATTTATAAATGACATAGAATAAATATACTTAATGATATATTTTATTATAGCTAATTTGTGCGACTATTATATTTATATTAATTTATATTTTAATTAATTCAATTTTTAGATAATAAGGAGGAACAGACCAAGGAACAATCTTCTTTTGGGTTTGGAAATTTTATATCAAGTGTATCGTCAATAACAAAACTGGTTGAATCAACTGGAAGCAAAGTTATGAATGGTGGATTAGACACATTGGAAGCCATTGGTAAAAAAACAATGGAGGTTTTACAAGAAGGTGATCCAGGATTAAAGAAAAAAAGGGCTTTTTTCATGAATGAAACAAACAAGCCAAATTTATCTCAGATTCTTCGAGAGGCTAAAGAAAAAGCAGACAATACTGAAAAAACAATTGAAGAAAGGCAAAAAATGAGAAAAATACATTTTGAAAGTCTTCTTGATGATTATCAAGGACTTGTTCACATAGAAGCATTAGAAATGCTATCAAAACAAAGTAATATTAAAATACAACAGTATTTGAGTGGTTTAGATTCAAATGAGTTAAATTCTGTCCAAAAAATGTTGGAAGAAGTTGAAGAACTATGTGAATTAGGCGATGATGATGAAAATAATGATGAAACATATGAGAAAGATTTGAAATATAAATTACAAGAAGCTTGCAGCGATCTTGGAATTAATATTACTTATGAGAAATTGCACGAGGTAATTTCTATTCTACTAATACATACGTGAGTTTATTAAATAAATATTGATTTCAGATATATCAAGACTCTAAGAACTATAATACTTCAGCCATGACGCCTAATGATCAAGAAATTTTCGAACATGCCATTTCTATTTTGGCACAATTTACAGCATTTTCCATAGAAAGATTTCATAAAACTGCAGAATTACTTTTAATCAAAGAACATCGGAGCACTGTGAATGAAACTGATTCATTAGTTCAGTTAACGAATATTCTAACTAATCAAATTGGAATATTAGCTAATATTTATTGTAGTGCTTTGAGTAAACTCGCTGAAACTGACAACTCTGATAGTATTAACGCTAATATAACAACGATTTTCATAGAGGTAAGACAGTATTATTATGTATTTCATCTATAGTTAGTAAAAAATTAATTAAAATTTTTTTTTAATAGGCTTCAAATGCAAGTTCTTATATTCAAGATGCCTTCAAACTATTGATTCCCATTATACAAGTTGGTGCTATATAACGATGGACAGAAATGTTTTCTGAATGTATGTTCTATATGTATTGCAAAAAATATAAATAACCTTTCAAATAATTAATTTCAAAAAAGAAATATTAGAAATTATCTTTAAAAAAAATTTTTTAAATTTTAAATATTGTAAGTAAAGAAGATTGGAAGAGAGAAGATATATAAATAGCAATTTTTATACTACATAAATTGTATGAATTTATAATATAAAGTCTTAATAAAAAATTGAAGCTTCAACATACAGATTACAAATAATTCTCAAATTCCCTATCTTACGTTGTCCTCATCAATATTAGTAGAAAAATAAAAAAAATATTTTTAATAACACGTTTGTTAAAAAATTAAGAAACTTATTGTTTTATAAGTATTATTCTACTTCATTTTATATTAATATTTGAACTAAAAAATGTCTTAAGTAAATATTTTTTAAATAATGCTGAATATTAGCATTGTATTATATAGTAAAAAATAAAGTAGAATATTTAAAACATTTTTAACCATACGAGAATAAATATAAACTTGATTTAATGTTTTCCTCTTTTATTACCAATAGGAGGTTTCTGAAGTTGAAAACTCGAGTTTGATTCACTCATTGGTAAAGGTGTAGCAAAATTTGACGGAGTATTAAAAGTCAAACTTGCTGTTGGTGGTTTCAATGACGAACTTAGAGTAATGTTAGTGGCAGGTGATGTTGGTATTGTATTTCCCCAAACTGTAACAACATATATACTGAATTATTTTGCATCTATTTCTAGGAGTCAATTTAATTTGCGAATATAGTAGCTAAAGCTGTATTTCAATAGATTAACATTGGAAAATAACAAAGTAGCAAGACTAACATTATTATAAAGTTAAAACAATGTTCTTTTTTTAATAAAACTAATATTCAATATCTCCAGATGTTGTATATTCTGTGAAATACACAACATATATATATTTAATTAACACGGACATTCTTACTAAACCACCAATAAGCAGAAGCAATTATTAAAGCAGATGTAAAATATACAGCCATCTCTTATCAAGCACCAATTCCAACCTCCCTCTATTATTTGCTATTTTGGAATGCAAATTAAAGAAAAGAAAGAAACAGAATATCATTTTTTTTTTATTATTATCAGAAGTAAATGTATAATTAGTAAATGCTAAACACAAAAGCTATGCATCTTTTTCGTAACACAAACAGAAACTGTAGAAACTGTAGAAAAATTTAGTACCTCATACACTAAAACAGATTCCTTACTCTTTTCCTGGAAAGGTAAAATCAAAATCAAATCACAGAAATAAAAATTTTAAACCGATCATATTTACAGAATAAGTAGTTACAACACTCTTACTATTGATATATGTGAAATTCTACAATACTTAATAAAGGGCGTTATATGTTAGTAAATCTACCTCATACTAAATCCACGCAAGACCTGAAGGTAGGAGATATTTATGGGACAGTTGAAACAACGAAAGTACGTTGTTTTAGGGATCTTGTTTTTAACAAAAAAAAGAAAAAAATATTAACATTACAAATTTATATATTAATTTCATTTACCTAATGGATTTCGCGTTTCATAACTTCCTGGTCTATTAGAATTTAATGCTGTTGATGAAAGAAAACTTTTATTTCCTATAAAAGTAAAGTATATAAAATACATGAAATAAAATAAATATTACAATGAATTCTAAAAATTATCAATTACCTGGACCAAATGGTGTAGGACCACTCGTAATTTTTCCAATACTATTTCGAGATGTTTTCCCATCCGATTTAATATCTTCAAAAACGTTTGTATTATCTTTTAAAACGTATTTTCTAAAGTTCAAATATTGTTCTTTTTGTTGTTGAACTTTTGAATGTACACCTTGTAATTTGCCAGCAACAGCAACAAGAGATTCGTGAAGTTTACTCATAGCCATTGTCAATTCTAAAAACAGATTGTATGTTATTGCAACATTTTAGCAAACACTATCAAACAATATCAGCACAAATTTACCTTGTGGCGTTAAAGTTTTTGGAGTCATCATTGTCTGTATATGTTTTTCTGTTGTTTCAATTTGAGATCTAAATAACATCAAGTCATGTTCAAAGTTATCAGCCAATTCCATAAAAAATAATAATGGTGCATTATTTTCATATTGTAAGCCTGGTGGAGTATCGTGTGTTCTTTGAGCTATTTCAGCATTTTGTAATGCTTTTGCTGTATCCTGTTTTAACTTATCAGCAGCAGAACGATCACGTTGAACTGATCCACCTAATGTTGTTAGAAGTTCCATCAATGATGCTGTATCTTCTGCACATCTATTTAATGGTCTTGCAGAGCCTCTTGCTATATCTGAAGATAATACTTTTTGTTCTTTCACAAATTCCCTAATAACATATATTAAGTTAATTAATTCTATACAATTTTAATACAATAGTTTTGCTATATAATAATTACTTGAATTTTTCTATTGTCTGTAATAATTCTGGTGGCCAAACATTCTCTTTAGCAGTTGAATTAGTATTTCCTTGTGAAAGCCCTTTATTACTTGATGATACATCTAATCCTCCTAGTCCTCTATTTGTAGTGCTTGTGGTAGTTGTAGTGCCAATAGTACCTAATTTTGATCCTAATAAATTGCCACTACCAAAAAGTGATGCTACAAACAAAAAATATTAGAGACAATATTATTATTATAATTAGAGACAATATTATTAATAACATTAAATAATTTTTAACTATCACATACTTGTGGTAGTAGGCGTTCCAAAGCTAACATTTCCAGTTGTAGTTGTAGCGGATGGAGCACCAAATGTTAATGTAGAACTTGTTGCTGGCGTACCAAAAGAAAGGCCACCAAATAATGGTGCAGATGTAGTTGGAGTTGGAAATAAACTACTCGCAGTTGTTGTACTAGTCGTATTTGATCCCAAAAGTAAACCACTTGATTGTGTTTGTGCAGTAGTTGCAGGTGCAGTATTAAATCCAAAACTAAGCCCAGTTGTTGTTGTTGGTGTTGATGTAGCCCCAAAAGTTAATGTTGGTGTTGAAGTACTTGAACCAAAAGGAATACTATTTAAGTTAAAACATATTGCAAGTTTAGAACGCAATTAATTATCAATATTTTGGATACGAAAACCTATATTGCAATGTAAGGTTAATGAATTTAAATTATGGATAAAAAACGAAAAACTATGTATTTACTTTTGTGCAAATCCGAAACTTGTATTGCTCGAAGTTGTAGGTGTTCCAAAAGTAAATGTTGACATAATTATAATATGCAATAAATAATAATACAAATAAATATCATGAAACAACACACAGTATCTTATATTTAAAATATCAACTCTTCATGCGCATGTTAAATTGTTTTAACTGTACGATGTACATAGTTGTCCGAAGAGCGCCATCTGTAACGTAAAGATGCATGCTTTAAATTTGAATCTACTTTCACAATAATCATATAAATATTTATATATATTACTTTATGTATATTTTTGTAGAAATATGTATGTACATTTAAAATATTGTTTACTTTAAATTTTTATATTTAAGATGTTTTACTTAAAATAAAAATTTAAAGTCAGGGAAAAATAAAAAAGCGTATATGTGTATAATATTAAAAAATTTTTTAAAATACAAAAATCACTGGAAAATCATTTTAACCGTCATTGATTTAGCTTTAGACTAAATAACGAATAATTTCTAGATATTATTTCGGTTTATTATTAAATGTACCTATACTACTATATTATATAAATCAAGGGACAATACAATGTCTTTATCATTTCATAAAGTAGTAAATATTTTCTTTGTATGTACGCGACAAAGTTCTAATAATTATACATTCCATCTATAGGAAATGGGATCAATTCAACAAAGTTTGCCAAATCGGTACACTGACTATCACAAAGTTGATTGCTGGTTCGGGTTCGTACATGGGCGTTTCTAAAATGATCACAGTCGCGTAGACTAAAAGAACGCGTCTAAAAACAGTTTCTTTCTATCAATAAACTTTGGTTTTTTTTAACATCAGGAATTACTTAATCTTTCTTTCTTCGTTTAATAATTTGGTAATTTTTAGATATTGTTTGCATTAATATTCCTCTTGAACGTGTAAATATTTCAGTCTCATTTCAAATGAAGGAAAAAGAAAATCACATTTATAACGCTTGTATACAGTTTAGAATACACCCGGTACGCAGTATCGTACAGAGTACGAGTTATTTAATAATTGTAAAATGACACCGCAATATTATACTCTGTAATTACAAATACAATGAGATACCGTAGTTCTTCTTTTTTTTTTTTTAATTTTCTTTGCATATTAAGAATATATTCCTAGATACTTTGCGATGGCGTGCAATTATCCTACATCTTTTGCTCAATTTATATAAATATTACTAACGCCGTGCTGAAACAAACGATAAATAATATTTAACAATATTTAATAATATTTTCGAAAGATCGGCAAAATTATTCATTGACTTTAAATATTATACTCAGTGATTTTAAAGATAGCGTAACCCACGTACAATTTTGCAAATATAATAAATTACCTTTCTGAAAGCTTGATGCAAAAAAAAAAAAAGAAACAAAAGAAATATTTATGTTTCACACATGACCGGCTCTTCTTTGACCCCGATATATTACTAATTTTGCTATATATAATTTTCTATTTCTTATTTTTTAATCGGTTTAAGCGCTGTTTCAACAAAAATGTGTAAGCATATGCAAAACAACTTACGTGTACCATAAGCGGTGTATAACTTAATCAGCTTCACCCATCCCTTAATATAATAAATAATTCATTTTATATACAAATTGAATTGTTTCTTAAAACGCTCAAATCCACAAAGACAGTTTTTTAAAATACCAAACACACTTGTTCGTTCGCTGTAGCGTTGTGCATACTCAACCACGAACGCTGCTTTCAGAATAATGTCACTTCGTGCAAAACTTTTTTAAAGTTTCAACAATCAAAATCCAAATATTAAATATTTTTACGTTATATCCATTATTCTGATAGTACCGTCGAAGCCACAGGAGTCATATTCTAAAATGGAAATATTATTTATAGTATAATTTCTTTCAGTAATTATACACATACATTCGCTCAAACACACACACCCATTCGACGCACGCACACAATATTTAAAATAGAATATTTTCTTCTTTGAGAAAAAGTACTATAATATCATTGTAACAACGGAATGGGCTTCTATAAAATCATTATTGATTAAATATTTGTTTACAGATTTTTTTTTTTTGTTATGCTTTGGTATGGCACTAAGGATTATTTTAAATTCTTTTAATTTAATGTTATGCAGATGCAAGTTATGCCTAAAAAATAAAAGAAAATGAAAGAGAAAACAGGAAAGGAATCAGATGTTATATTTAATTGTATGATCTCCTTTAGCATTATCGTCTTTGAATTTTTATTCACGTCCTGATGAGACTTATCCTAATGTTCTGAACAATGCTGCAATTTAATTGTTAATGTTTTAAATTATCATTTAGCGAGTACAGCAGTCGAATCTGTTGATTCAAATTAAAATTATTATAATAGTAAAGATAAAAGTTATTTGCTATCTGTTTTACGTTTTCTTCGGAAAATGCACAAATACAAGAATTTTTCTTCTTTTTTTAAAATGCTTTTATCCGTAAATTAAGGCCATTTTAACAAAAACTATTGCAAATAGTTATAAGAATAATTTTTCTCACAGTGTCTAAAACTTGCATGTTTTTTCAAACTTGTAAATTTTAATCACTGCCCAAACTTAAAAAAAGTGATTTATGTTAATATAAAAACGGTTTTTTTACTTTGAAAGTTTCACTTCGATAACTAATTACCGTGATATTATCACAAAATGCAAGGGGTTTTAATAATATAGTTTCAATGTAATATAAATGTAATATAGTTTAAATAAATCAAAAAGAGTTCTTAAAATTATTAGGCCATATTTAACAGTTAGATCCATTTAATTGAAGCCGTTGAGTATAACTAATGCTTTTTTACTGCTTCAAGTGAAACTCAACTAACAATAGTATTAGAACCAGAATTGGAAAATGTAATTAAATGTAAGGAATGTTCCATTTAAAAAAAATATATATATATATTTAATTAAGAAAGCTATTGCCAATAAGTCTCATAATGCTTATGTGCATAACTTGTTTCTTCTCCTGCATTTGAATTAAGCAAATGCATCTATAATAAATATTTTGTACTATCATTGAAATAATATTTATGTGCTGCCTTTTCATTTATCGAGACATTTCTTAACTGACATTTTAATGACAAAAAATGTCATTAGCTGATCACAGCATGAGATATTGTCACATCACCACATTCAATGTGTATAGAAAATATTAGACAAATTGTCAATCAGATCCAACTGCCATCAAAAGAACATTTCAGTGCCAATTTCATCATTATTTGAAAATATGGAACATGGCAGTTTAATGTTAAAGCCAAAGCACTGAGCTTTCCATATAAAACTGGATGTTTGCTAGTTTATATAATACACAGTATCTCAGTAAAGATCAAGAATATTTTTTAACCTTCATACAAATAAGTATGAAAGAAAATTCATATAAACTTGTATCTGCAACTGCTTATTGTTTTAATTATACTTTATAAAAAATATTAATAAATATTAGATACATTTTTAAATTAATACATTAATTAAAATTATATACATTAATCTTCGATTTAATAATTCGTTTATATATATGTATGTATATATATAAACAAGTTATTTATTCATTGCTATTTTTAACTAAATATCCTTTAAAGATGGATACCGTTGCGCAAAAAATTAATTTCTTCAGAATGCTTTAAGAGTATAACTCATAAATACAAATAAAGCTGTCTTAATACTTAAAAAATACATATTGAAATCAATTTATTTATTCGAGTAGTTCAAAAAAATTCCATTCTTTAACTGATTTAAATAGTATATTAGGAAAAAAATTAAATTTCTTTAAATAAGTTTAAACAACTACGATAATTAAACAATCCAAATTAAAACAATAGATGTGAATTTTTTCAAGCTACTCGAAATACTTAATTAATCAAATATTCGAATTCGTTTAATTCATATTTCGAATATCCGAATATCTCGGGTGCTCGACAACTCTAGATACAAGATTATACAAACTTTTTCATAGTTTCCATAGATACAATCAATACTTAAAAAAATGTTCTCGATTTTTATTAACGCCCTGCGTAATACATATAAAAAAGAATTTGAAAGTGTCGACATACATCGCATTTAATATATGTAACAGATATATTAAAAATTGCTAATTGAAACAGCATTAATAAGAATCAAAATTTTTAATTTCATTTCTTTTATATAAAATTTCAACAATAAATTAAGATGCTAATGCAAAAATTTCAACAAATAATTTTTTAAATCATTTCATGCTACTAGAAGAATTACACTTCTAACATATTCTAATATTCATCAATTTAGAAATTTCTCTGTTTAAAAAAAGGGAATGTTTCATTGAATTATTTTTTACGTAAGATTATAATTTGATAAATATACTTTTTCAAATTAGGAAAAAATTATTCATATATTTTATTCCAGGTTGTTCTGTTTATAGATAAAACTCATATGTATATGTATAAAAATAAAACAAAAATCTATTCATATAAAAAAAATTTGTAAATGATTGCGCCTCATAAGTGGCTGTTCTGATGTCATGATTACAAAATGTACAAGGCTTATAAAACTGACTAACTCGTTAACTGCCACGCTTGTGTATGTATAAAGCTTAAGATATGTATTATAAGTTAAATGAACATAAAGTACATACAACAATCAGTGATAATAATTTTGTTAATAATTCACTACAAAACTGTTCAACAACAATAAAGTTAAATGTACATTGCACAGAATGGCAGTGAACGCGTCACTATACTGTAAAACTTTCAGAGAGATTTTTGGTTCTGTAGCTACGCGCTACGTCCATTTTTAGCACAAGCATTCCATCCAGTTACAAGATGGAAACAACAAAAATACAGATAAGATAAAAGTTTTACAATGTGACCAATATTCAAAAACTCCCACTTAAATGACCAATAACATCAGCTTTCATGCACAATATACGATACATATATTTCTAAACGTGAGTTCTGAATATGGCCTATGTATTTGAAAATAGGATCGACTTGTGAGATGCAAAAATTGAAAAAATTTCGACCCATAGTTATACCATACTCTAAGCAATTCCAAAAAGAGTGTATATGTTTTTCATTATCAATGGCTGTTACTTATTTCACTTTATATATTATTACTGTATAATCTTTACGCTTTGTTACTTTTTATGGTGCTTATATGTTACGTTGAGAAAATAATTTTTTTTTATATAACAAGCAATGTGTTTAATTTGTTCTTCCATAAATATTTAATTTCCCTTAAGTCTTCTTTATAGATCAATGGTTCCCGTAGAAATGCTTAATTTGCACGCAAGTTTAAAGTATTTCATTTTCATTGATACAACGGATGATTTCTACCTAATTAAAAAAAAATATTTCTAACCACTGATCTCAGAATCATTGTATATTAATTAATTATTGTATTATATCCAATAGTGAGCTTGTCGTAATGCTAAAAATTTTCGTACAACACGAATAGCTAGAAAGCACAAAATATGTTATGGTTTCAGTACTATTTCTTCTTCTGTACCAAAATCTTTCTAGCTTGCTTTGGTAAATTTTTGGATATCACGAGTATATAATAAATCTCTTACTTGACAAACGAGATACATTTAAACATTGTCCTATTTATTATTAATCACTCATTTGTTCACGTAATTAAACGAGGACTATGTAAACCTTCGACTTGAGTATCAATTTGAGGACAATGTTGAGTATCTGGCGGACCCCAATCATGCAAGTTTCCACTGTTAGCTAGTCTGTGCGTAAGTCGATGTGCTATCGAAAAACCTCCACTACCTTCCAATTGTGTTAAAACTATGATGACTTGTCTACAATAAGAAAATTTGTTAAACTTGTTATCATAATATTGATTTCGAAAAGATATATATAAAAAATTTGTATTACCTGTGAAGCGGGGGAACACTATCGGCAGTTCTGAGTTGTCCTCTTGTGGATACAACGTTATAGCTTTCATGGCAGTCACATTTTACATGAATCCACTTATTTACATGACGATTCTCTACCATTACTACAAGACCAGCCCAACCTTTAGTTAAGTAATAAGCAGTCATTCCCTCTCTTCCCTGCATATAAATATTTTACAAGATACTTTATAGTTTATATAAATAATTATCAAATTAAAGTTGCAAGTTACAGAAATATTCTTACTTCATGTCGCTGTCCTTTTGCTAGAGTTAAACTTATTATAGCATCAGCTAAAACAAATGCTGGTGGGGAAATTTGTTCAACTAATAGTCTCTTAGAACTATGAATGGCAAGAACGTATTCAGGATAACTGGAAGTATCTTCCATTCCTGTGTGCCAATGATTAAAGGCCAAACATACAACAATATACAAATCCCTTTCTAACATTTTATGACATCCAACGAATCCACGTACTTGTCGTTTACTATGTTCTACTAATCTTCCCACTTCAGGCGCTGCTGGTGAACGTGTACGAAAAACAACTACACACAAGTCCAACTGAGAACGTTGTGATTTTTCAGAATTCCTAAATACATATATAAATATTATATATCATATCCTTATATCTGACACAATTACACGAATATATTAAATTATAAAATGAGACAATAAAATTTACCTCTGCCCTTCTTGAAATAAAGTAAATTCTGTTTCAGTAGGTTCTAGTACCGTTAAAAGTACGCATGATAAATGTCTAAGAGATGATAAGGGTGGAAGTGTCCCACGCAATCTAACTTCACTCCACCCAACTCTAGTTTTACAAATATCGATACAATCAAAATATTTTAGTACATCATCAAAAGAAATCCAGAAAACACCATCAGAAGCACCATGTGGCATAAGCATTTCTCGCAATTGCGGTGTCCAAATAGGACTATCATCAGACCAATCACCTTTCCAACTATAGTGACCCCATGGATTACGTAATCTCAATAATCGTATTCCCTATCAAGTATATTATTCAAAATACTTGTAAGTTTTTAATTGCGTATGTATAAATATATATGTCTTTTTACCTGTACATCCCGTACATCAAGAACAGAATAAGCATGCCTAAAAAAATACATTAAATTTTTTTATACAAAACTAAATAAATGTATTTTAAATCCTTAATATTTATTGAATATTTTCTACCTTGGCCTTAAACCTTTACGTTGATATTCTTCCTCATCAACTTTCATATTACCACCTCCACAACTAGCACCCATTAAAAACATAGCTTGCCTTGAAGATAAAAGTTGTGCCCATATTAAATCCTTATCAAGTTCATCTTCACTTGGCAAAGCAGATGGTTGTAAAGGCACACTCTCACAAGGGGCACCTGTAAGTGTTGCTAGACCTTCTATTGCACGTCCAGATACTAAAGCTTCGTAGCAACCATGAATTTTAGCCACTGCTTTTTCAATTAATGGCACCCAAAGTTGTTTTCGTTTTGCCTACAATATATTTCATCAAAATTACTAACAAAAAAAAGGTGAAAGTTTTTCTTTTATATTTAATAAATATTGATTTTTTACTTATAAGTTAACATATATAAGTTAAGATATAAACCTGAGAATATACAAGATGGCCTCTTTTATCACAGGGTAACAAGTCATCAACAAGTACAGTGGTCCATTTTCCATCTTTACATAATCTTACTTGATAAGCTCCTTCTGGGCAGGTTTCTCTCATTACTAAGACTCTCTTTACAAGCTCATCACTTTCGGCTAAAACAGCTAAAGCTGAAAGTAACCAACAGTTTCCTAATACACCTTGCGAGATATCAGAAGGTAAGGGTTTTCTAAAAACAGCCCAAGGCAGTTTGGAATCAACTGTAGAATCAACATTAATTTGATGAGGCCTTCTCCACTGAACAACATGATTATCTTTTGTTTCAGCTGGATTATAATATAGAGATTTTGGAGCTGGTGGAAATGAGTCATCGACAAAAGGTTCATTTGTCTATAAAATAAGTAAATTAGTTACTACTAGAAATATTCTACCCTTTAAGAAGTTTTGTTTTTTTAAATTCAGATTAATGTGTTAGTAAAACACAAAGATTTTTTTAATTATAACAAAAGCTATAACACTATATTTTAAATATAATTTACATATATAAAAACAAATCAATGTATTGTATTTCTTTTTGATTGAAAAAAATTGTTCTCGTTTATAGTGCATAATTATTAATTAATCGATATACCTCTTTACAATAGCGAACAATTCGCTCCCACTTCTCCAAAGCTTCTCTTTCCTCAATTTGTCTTAAATTCTCCATAACTACACTTTCTTGCCGTTGTATAGTAAGTGTATTTATGCCAGATTCAATAATTCTAGGCCTTTCACCTGGTAGTTGAGATAAATTTTTTGAGATTTGGCACATTTCACAAATTCCATTTGTACTCTTATTTTCATACGTGCACAGTTTACACTGCCACTGGAAACATTGTAATGTTTCATGTATAATAAATTTATAAAAGATAAAAACCAGAGAGGAAAATATATCAATAACATATGTTTGAACAGTTTATTGACCTTTGCTCAAGGAATGCTGAGTTGTTTTGATCATCTAACAGTAACACGTACTCCGTATTTCATTATTTACCAAATATTGTATATAAATAAAGTTATATAAAAAGTTATTGTATATTATATAACGTAAAAATATAATAAAAATAATAATAACAAATTTCATTCTTAAAGTTTGGAAATATGCGAATAAGAAACATTTATGATGGATCAAAATGGCCCGGCATTCGTATGTCGCGTCGCTACACAAGCATCTATAGTTCGAGTGTTCATAAAGATATACAAAACAATTGTAAAAAAAATCGTACTTGACCATGAGTAGAATCTCTAATTCTTGAATGTCTTTTGTCTCCAATTGAAGAACCGTTCCTTCTCACAGAATTCCTATGTCTTGGGGTAACAACTTTTGAATTTATAGGGGTCGAACAGAGTCTTGGACTCGGACTTCTTGATCCAAAAAATCTGCTATCTTTTGGTACATCTAGAAAATCTGCTAATGTCTTACAAGCGTTACAAGTTTGTGCTGATAGCGGATTCCTTAATGTACACGATGGGCACACCCAACTTTCTCCTTTTCGTAGCGTAGCATCTTCTAAATGCATGATACTTTTAAGCTTTGAACCACCGCACGCTTCGCACGTTGTTCTTGAAGCAGCATTTAATAATGTACATTTTTTACAAGTCCACACTGGAGAAGGTGGATCGACTTGATCATCTAAATCAGATTCTGCTGTAGCCAATGTAGCAGTTTTTTGCGGAATGTATCTCACACTATCCCTGGATACTACAATCGGAGATTGTGTATGCATTGAACAACTTGTTTCATCTTTCGTGACAGTTATTAGACTAGGTTGCATTAATGAAGGCGGTGATCGAGAAGATCCACATATATCGCAACCAGTTGACCACAAAGGATTATACGCGTAAGAACATTTTCGACAAGTCCACATACGTTTCAACGAACTTACATTTGGTATATCCCCGACAGGACTAGTTGCTTCACTATGTGCTTTCGTGGGTACAAGGCCCAATTTATTATTTTGTTTTTTTGGCAATGGCGGTGGTATATCAGGGTCAGTAATTCCAATGTAAGAATATTTTGGTCTTGTACTAAAACCAACAGAATGCGGTGGTACTGCAGGTGGTTCATCTTCATTGAGACTCCTACGATTGACGATCTTTTTCTGAGATACATTTGTAACAGATTCAACGTCAGAAAAAGATCGTCTATAGGACAGTGGACCTGCAGAAGACAGAGCACGTGGTTCCCAGGCAGGTACACTGATAACTACACCACTGCAAGGAGCAGGACTTCTAGGAGCTTCACATGCCTCACACTGTTCTAGGCCAGGAGCATTATCAAGAGTACAATTATCACAACTCCAGAGAGCATCATCTTGCTGAGATTCTGAGACTACTAAACTTGTTGGTCTTTGAATTGCATGTTCAGATAATTTATGTACAACAGATCCATTAGATAAAGAGCGACTAACTTTAGATTTGACTCGTTCATAAATTGAAGGACTATGTCTTTTTGGTGAACGTTGAGAGGTATCAGTGGTATTTGTGTAAGAAAGTGTAGTAGACTCCATAGTTTCTATCGGTGGCAAGGTCCAGTCTTCTCTATCTTGTCTCCTTTCACTACGACTTATACTTGTTAGTTGTGCCATGTCTGTAAAATAGAAACAAAGTAATCTATAATACTTATAATATATTAATTTCTTTAAAAATACTTTTGATTAGATAATACATACCTTTATTAATAATTTTTATATCACTTGTAGAAGAACTTGTTGCATTGACACCATCCAAAATATTGGCCAGAAGTTCAGATGCAGCTTTGAGGCGATTTGTTTTGCGTAGATTTAATTTTTTGCTTTTACGTGCTCCAATTTGCCGTTTGTCAGTTTCAGCAATAGAAGAATTTGCATCGCAAGCTACGCAAATTATGCCAGAACTGCAACTGTTGTCTAACAAACAACGAACGCAAGTCCATTGTGTTATTAAAGAAGGTAGAGAAGAAGATCTTTTAACTGGCTCTTTTTTACAAGACTTTCCATTCCATGAATCATGATGAGATTTCTTTATATGATTATTGGGTAGAATTAAATTTCCATCTGAGCTAAAAATTAATATAAGAAATAATATAACAATTATTAAACAAACAACAACCAATGTGTATATGAAAACATAATAAAATTAAGGAAGAGGAAAGAATTAAAAAATATATAAATTTTTCTTTTTTCCTTTTTATAACGAAACTATGTATTCAATCATTTCCCAAGTACGGAAAAAATCTATCTAAATATAAAGAAAAGATTAACGACTATAAAAAAAATATATATATGTATATATTCTAACTTTGATATGCTATCTAAGTATATATCATATCAATAATAAATGAAAGCCTATATTCGTAGATGCAATAGTAACTTGTCATATCTACGTTTATGTGAACATGCAACAAATAAATTTGTATTATATTCCCCTTACAAACCATTGTTTTGCGCATTGTGTGAAATCCTTGGCACAAAATTAAACTTGTTCAGTGAGAGGTAGAAGGAATGCTCATACTATGAGAATATCTTTGTTCGAAAAACGACATATTGCACCAAAATGATTGACACTGATGCAAACATAAGGTATTAGATTCGGAGAAGAAGTCGACAAAATTTGCGAAGGGTTCGGTAGACTGTATACAAACACGCGAGAAATCGAAGAACGAGGGAGGGAAGGGAAGGGAGGGTAAGAGAGGGGAGAGGAGGGGGATTGGGTAGGGGTTGCGGACAGAGAGAGAGAGAGAGAGAGAGAGAGAGAGAGAGAGAGAGAGAGAGGAGAGAGAGAAAGATATATGAGTTAACAATTTTCTCACCGATGTATGAGATCGGTTTTGACGTATTGATAAGTAGTCGGACGCGTATCGCCCGTCGCTGGCCTCTCCAAACGAAGTTTCAGCGGAGGTGTCGGCGGAACCGAGACCGAGGAAGAGCCACCTTCCTCGCCGTCTCTTTGCTTCTCCTCCTGCTGTTTTTCTTCTGGAAGTTCGCGCTCCAAGCTCAGGCTGAGCCTGAGGTTCGCTTTCTCATCACTCCTAAGCCGTGTAAGGCCGCACCTGGCGCATCGCGTGCTCTCCGTTGGATTTATCAGAGCGCACTCCGAGCAATGCCACTGCAACACCGATGCGATCGAGCCCATTCTTTACACGTAGTCATGGCTCCTTTGCTAACAGGATCACTGACTTTTGTAGCCACGATCCCTTTTGCTCGAAATTACACCGCACCTCTACGCGAGGACGAAGATCAACGATACCGTGGAACACATTCCGAGACGATTCTTTTCGGCAGCGGCGGTTGCCCGCCGTTCTTTGTCATATGTTTCGGGACGGCCATCTTTTTATGCCCCTTCCACCCTTGCTCGCTCGACGTTCTGCTCTATCTCTTTCCTCCTTTTTTCTCTCTTTCTTTCCGCCGTCGCATCACACAGTGAAAATCCAAATGCACACACGGGACATCGGGTGCACGGACTGACGCTCTGGCTGTTTCTCTCTTTTCTCTCACCTTTTAGGCATCTTGTTTATCTCATTTTCTCGGTATTTCTCACAGTTTATTCATACACGCGCAAACATAGTCTGGCATCGGACGACACACAAACCAATCCACTGATCAATCCATATTCGTTTGCTCGTAATGCCAAAGAACCAGACAAAACGCGTCAATCGCAAACAGGGTAGACATCGTCCATGTACATGACTGTAGAGCGTGGCCTGAGCTGGTGTGTTGACTACATTGGTTGCAACACAGGGCTGTACGATTATTATTATTACATACGTATACATGCAATGAGAATTTCTAAATTTTTAAATTACGTTTTTATTCTTGCACGTTATTTATTTGTTACGCGTGCGGACCATCGATTTGTATTTGTTATTTTTTTGAAGTAATTCGATTTAAAAGTACCAATATTGGTTCACTTTGATTGCGATATTTTAAATAAGGACTTGTTATTTAATACACTGTTTAATTTTTGTGAGTTCAATTAATTATCCAGTAATTTCATACAATGTGAAAGAGATGTTATATTAAATTATAAATTTTTAACCGAGATTAAAAAAGCACAATCGCACCTTGTCAGACGATCGATAATTTATAAAATTTGTTCGTTGCATCGATCGATTCGTTGCGTTCCAAACTTTTGCGCTCGAAATTATAATCGTTTCGGTTCTTTTTTTATACGTCACTGGTCAACATAAACTATTGCATACATCAGCGACATCTACTTATTATATTTCAGAGTAGTATGAAGTTATAAGAAAAGTTACACCACGAAGTCCCTGTGGCGCAGAGGATAGCGCGTTGGACTTCTAATCCAAAGGTCGTGGGTTCGATCCCCACCAGGGATGATAAAGAAACAACTACGGTTGTTGTTTCAATTTTTTATCATTCTTACACACATTATACTTTAATTATTACCATTGATTTTTTTTACGTATCTTTTATGTGTGTTACGATAATTTTTGTTTTGTAAAGTTTGTAGAATTAATCAAAAGTATATTAAAAATATTGCTTGCGTATATATTATTTTGATTTATACGTTTGAATATAATTTAAGATCCTAAAAATCTTAAATCGTCTTCAATTTTATAAATTAAAAAAACAAATGATATAGATGTTCGATTAACGAATGAAATTGTTTATCAGTGTGATAAAATAGAAATCCTCAATGCTAAGAAGTGTGTGAATAATTGTTGTGTGCACTATGTTAAGATAATGATACAAGTTTCACGAAGAAGGGATACTCTAGAAAGTTTAAGAACAATAAAAATTATTATTTCCATAGTGTTCCATTTCTCGGCGAATGTTCATGATAGAAATTTAATTGCTTGACTCCTTAATACATTTGTTAATGAAATTCTATTATTGTTTCTATAGATCAAGTGTTATCACTAATTACAATTTATGATATATATCTTTGGCATTACACTATATATAATTTGATAGGGACTCTTGAGTAATATATGTAATACAGTATAAAATTTATTAGAAATTAATATTAGTGAATGTCTGATTGAAATAATTTTTGCTGATAATAGGTAATGTGGAAAATTGGAAAACGTCAATCATATAAACTATTTGCCTTCTAACTGGTACTCAGAGAAATCAAGCTCTATTATAATAAATATCTGGAAATCCCAAGTTTTTTAAACATCGTGAACATTTATGCTCTATTTTACGTTATCCAAGAGTGACTCACAATCAAATCAATTAAGAGATCGATTACAAACGATATACGTACATGATTGACTAATTAACATCATATTTGTTATTACGTAAGTACGATTTAGAGTCATGTTTCTTTTTTCATTAACAAAATTATATTATTATATATCCATTTTTTCTTTCTTTTTATATTAAAATTTTACTTCGGCCAATGCAGCTGGCCATGCAATTGGAAAGAATTGTTTTATATTTTGCGGCGATTATCTAATTAAAATTTTGTAACCATTACAGAGAGGAAGATCCTAGTTTTAAAACAGTATAAAAATTAATTAATTTTCCCACTGGGTGGGTAAGAAAGTTTAAAAAATTTCTCCCGATCACATAGCTTCCAAGCATTTCGCTCTATATGAAACATATTCCATAAATATTTACAATTAATTTTTATATCGTTTTGAAGCTGAAATCTCCCTTTGTTTACTCGATTATAAAATTTTAATTGGAAATCCTCGGAAAGTATAAAAATCCTTTTCATTTGCAAACAGCTCACCGTGCGTCGGAGAATACATATAAATCTGTCTATTTCGAACATTGATCAATATTCATTCATTATTAATGAGCGTCTTCTCTCTTACACTTTCGATGGTACCAGCACACTGTTGGAGACATAGTTTCCTTTTGATCAATAATTTATGCTTGACTACTTAATTAAGTACTGATTTTGGACGAACGGCTACGTGCATGTTTTATATTAATTATAAATCATTACGATGCATAGTGTATTAATATCGTCAAGCAGACACTTTTGACCAACTCAATGATACTGATACAGTGAAGAGCATGACTGAATCGGTAACGATGAAAAATGTATTAGAGATGCCTGAATTTTCAAAGATTTGCAATGATTTCAATTTCCCACGAAAGAACATAATGGGATAAAAATATGAAGGAGATAAAATCGGAAATGGAACGCCTGCTTTGGGATTTTCAGAATAATCAAGACATTATGCAAAAACACTTGATCGCTGTTTTTTTTTCAGTAAATCTACCGGTGAAACACAGTCAGCGTATTACAATTTTAATTATCTACGTATACAGAGTGTGTCATTCAATTTGACCACGTTGTGCCCCATTTATACGGTTGTTAGCAAAAAAAAAAAAAAAGAATGACGTGGAGAGAAATCGAGGAAGTTTGATCGTTCGTTTAATATGACTGCAAATATTTGATATATGACAATTTATAATTTATAATTTTGACAAATATATGACAATTTATAATTTTAGGCGAAAGTAACTAAAAAGAAAAAGAAAGTAGATTTTTACACAGAGACTTTTCTTCATCTATGATTGCTATTTGTTTATTTGAATTTTTTATGTCTTGTGAATGCACAAAGATCTATTTGTAACGTGTCTATGCAATCTATGAAGTTTTTATAACACGAAACTTAATTTTTATTCGGCAGGTTGTTGAGACACAAGCACGAATGCAAATGGTAACGAATTCACGTGAGTCATATCCGGAATTAATTCTTTTGCCATCTCGATGTCGACAAATTTACCGCTAATCAATTTTGCAGAGTCACATTTTTAAACAATGTTATTCGTTATTACCTAACTGATCCCATTGTTATATTTGAAAATTTTAATAAAATTTCATTTTCAATGTGAATTCTTATTTCTCATTGCGGTTCTCTAATTCTATTCTTTCTACATATAAATTATGCATTCTTTTCAATATAAATTATGCATCGATAAACAAAATAAGTGACATTAACGTGACCGATGACGTTACTGTAGCGTCTTGTAATTGTGATTTTTGGCAACTACTGACCGTTGAAAAATATACATTACAAGTATAAACATATATATTTATTTATATTCATATCTTACTTCTTACATTCATAGTTGCTGATCATTTCTTTACGCAAAATAAAAGCCAGGTTTCGCAAATTTTTGATAGAGTTTGTTGAAAATTATTAACGAAACAGTATTTTATTATATGTAAATTAATTTTTTAAAATAAGATTCTGTATTCGTTTCGCTGCAACACACTTTAAAACGAATAAAAAGAATGAATATCGTAACGATCTATTTCAGGCTTAAATTTTATTTTCTTGCATATTCTTATCGGATAGTGATAACGCGTATGTGCAGACATTATTGTGTACTTTTTCTGAGAAAAGGTATAGAATCAAATTAAAAAACGATAAAACAACACAAAAACGAAACAGAAAAAGACTTGCTAAATGTAGAAAGAAATAATAATAAAAGACATTGATGAAAGACTGTATTTTTGTATTAATCATTTAATACGGACGTACAAAGTATTTGAAAAATAATTTCTTAAATTTAATTCTTTTAATAAGAAGTAACTTCTACATTAATTTTTGGAGTAAAGTTACTGCGTTAGAAACAGTATCGGGATCGTGTTCGCTTTATAATGATATTTTTATCTTCTACGTGGATGTATATTTAAAGAGGAAGATAACGTGATAGTATCATGTCCAGTAGAAAACAAGTTGAAAACAATAAAAAAAAAAAAAAAACACGACACGTAACGAGTAAGTGCTACAACCTGAACAAAAAAAGCATAAAACGAGCACTTCAGGCATAAAATTATAGTTGTACCTATTTAAATACCTGGAAGTCTACTGTCTAACATATTGAAACACTTCTTGCTGATATAAATATTGTAGTTTATTCTGTTACGTGATTTTCTCCCTATACAAGTCTTGTAATTATTCTAATTATATATTTTTTTTTCAATACAAATATTCCAATTCTTGGTTTATAAAAATAGTTTTACTTATAGATCTGAAATAAACATTGCTCTATGATCTTTGCTCAAGAAGAAGGAAAGAAAATTAATTGGTTGAATCAAAAAGAATTAAAGTGATCATCAACGTTTCGTAAAATCTGCTACAATTTTATATTTTTAAAATATGTTTATAAGACTATATGTTCAGACTATAAGGATGATTTTTAAATTATTATATCTACGATACAATATCGAAGATACTGATTGTTACTGTAGAAAAAAAATGCAAAATAAGTGAACGATTATAGCAAAACAGGGTGTTTTTACAAAACTTCTTGAAAATAACTTTTGTAAAAAACATTAAAGATATCCGTTTAAAAATATACAATTATTGTTGAAAAAGTAAGAATCACCAACGAATAAAATATGCAGAAATGAAAAAAATGTATCTGTTAAATGTTAAATCAAAAGTGATACAACAATCTCTCTGAATGAGCATGTTTATATATGCAATTACAAATTATGATTAGAGGAATATTTATTTATGAACATTAATCGACGAAAAATTATTTTCTCGTTGTCGAATTATTAGAAGAATAATTTTATAGCTATAATATTTTCAAATATACCGTACTGCATGTTAGTCAATCGTTAGTCAATCTATACAATTACTCGTGAACTTAAGTATACTTATTCAGTTATGTTATACTTTCGAATGAATTTCTCTTTCATGATTTTCGTGTACGAGATATGTGTATCAAGCTGCATGCGCTATAATCGTTAATTAACAGAATAAATGAAATTTCAAAAGAAAAAAGAA